GTGCTCACAGATTATTCGGGTATGTAATTTACATGTTGTACCTCTTGTCAAAAAATATTTTATTTTATTACAAAAAAGACAGCGACGTGATATAATGATACTCTCTTCTGTTGTTAGGTCATCTCTTATACCCGGGTGTAAAATTTTTAGATCATAGTTGTAATGGCGCATACAAATACCTAGTTTTGAGACCTCGTTCTCAGCTTCTTCTACAGCTTGAGAGTCGACTTCTCACATCTCTGACAGTTAATTTACACTTTGAACCCCAACATTATTGTATCTTTGAATTATGGTTGATTTATTGCTAATTTCATTATCAATAACAACACATTTTGTAAATTTTGTAGCGCGCTCTACGGAAGAAAGAAGTGGCATATCAAGTTCCTCAAATATCTCTGTCTCATTATCGTCACTCTCAAGCAATTCATCATTTTCGAGCAATTTGTTATTCTCAATTAATTCATCATCTATTTCTTTAGCAGATTTAATTATTTCTCTTACCTTTTCATATGAAAGCCAATCAAATGTAAAAGCACCATCATCCACATCTACTAGCTCTCTACCAAAATCAGGTCAATTTTCTTTTTCAAGATTAAATGAAGTATTATTGAAGGAATTCATTTTTTTTGTTAAGTATTTGAATAAAAATCTTTTTTATTTTTTTTAACTGTGTATTAATAATTGTGATTCAAGGCAATTCTGTGGTTTGAAAAGTTTAAATGGACCACTATTTATAATTTTTACACTTATTATAATAGATTGGCCAATTGGAATAATTAGTTCGTTATAGTAAATCTTGACTCAAAAACTTTTTTTAATTCTGTAGCTCCTGTAGCGAATCTTAGACTTTTTCAATTCTGTAGCTTTGTTGTAGCGAATCATGACCTAAAGACCTTTTTTTAATTCTTATTTCTCATTATAGCAAATCTTGACTTTAAGACTTTTTTAATTTTGTAGTTCCTGTTATAGCAAATCTTGACTAAAAACTTTTTAATTCTGTAGTTTCTTTATAGAAAATTTTAACTTAAAAACTTTTTTTAATTCTATAGTTCTCGTTATAACAAATCTTGACTTAAAGACTTTTTTATTTTGTAGTTCTCGTTATAACAAATCCTGGTTTAATAATTTTTTTAGTTTTGTAGTTCTCGAAACTCCTGAGTTTCAAGATCTTCTAAAATTCGAGATCTTCAAAATTCAAGAATCTTCTCTAAAACTGAAAAACCACTTAAACAGTACCTGCTAATTTTCATGCTTTTTTTTGAGGCTTGGATTCAAAAAATATAGTACAAGTCACTTTCATTATAGCGAAGTGATCAGGCTGTGAAACTTTCTTTATTATATTAAAAGTCTATTAGTAAATTTTGATTAAATTCACTATATCGAGAGGGTTTTATATAAACTGTTCTTCACTATACTTATATCGAGAGTTCACTATAATGAGAGTAACTTGTAGTTTTAGATGATAGTTTAAAAGTTAAATAAACTATTATTTATACTTATAATCGATAATTTATAAATTATAATTTTAATAAATTATTTAATAAACTTTATTAATTTAATTATATTCAATTACAATTTTTTATTAATGTGAAATCTAAACTAAATATTATTTAACTATAATTAAATCTATAAATCTATAAATTTATCACTAAAAGCATTCTTCTAATTTAAAGCAACCAATATAGTGTTCTTGCGAAGTATATTGGCTAATTCTTTTCATCTCTCTAATCCAAATTTATTATTCCAACTAAGATTTAGAAAAGTCAACGTGGTGGTGTTTTTGCAAGTGTAACAACTAATATTTTTTGTCTTTCTGATTTAACCAAGATTTATCCAGAGAAGTCAATGCAGTGTTCTTGCAAAGTGCATTGGCTAATGCTTTTCGTTGCTTTTCTGGTAAAGTGTATTGGCTAGTACTATTATTCCAAATATGATTCAGATTTTCAGATTTCAGTGAAGATCTCAAATTTTGGAAGTTTCGATTTTGAATTAAAAAAAAATATAACTACAAAATTGAAAAAGGTTTTAGTCAAGATTTGCTATAACGGACTAATTATTCCAACTAGCCAATCTATATATTATAATGAGTATAAAAAATATAAATAGTGGTCCATTTAACTTGTAAATTACAGAATTGTCTTGAACCATGATTATTATACACAGTTTAAAAAAAAAATATATATATTTTTATCTTTAAATAGTGCCTTCAATAAATATAACTTGGGTTGGGCATTACTTCGGCTATGATGAGACTTTAGAAATATTTGGTATGAAATTCATAAAAGAAAATATCAGGCACAAAACCAATGTAGAGAATCTAAAGCGAAATATCAAAGCAGCACAATCAGAGAATGAACAACTTAACCTCTTAATTTCTGAGTTCACTAAAAATTGGTCAGTATGCAAGAATCCACGATCTAAAATCCTAAAGATTAAAAAAGATACTTCAGAAATAATAAGTTATACAGTATAAAAATAATATATAACAAAAAAATTTAAACAAATAATTTACCATAAACATACTGTATTTTTATTAACTTGCAATGTTGTTTTTGCTAAAAAATAAAAAAAAAGAAACTTAATTAATAAAGTTGCAATCTACATATTAATACTTTTCACCTTTCTGATCTGAGTTTATTATTCCAACTAAGATCCAGGTGACATTCTTGCAAAGTGATCGGCTAATGCTTTTCATTCTTCTGGTCCAAGTTTATTATTTCTAAAATCCAGAAAAGCCAATGTGGTGTTCTTGCAAAGTACAATGGCTAATGCTTTTTTGTCATTCTGATCCAAGTTTATTATTCACAAAGTGTATCAGCTAATGCTTTACAATCCAGAAAGATCAACGTGATGTTCATGAAAGTAGATCGGCTATTTTCTTCTGATTCAAGTTTATTATTCTAAGATCCAGAAAAGTTAACATGGCATTCTGTGAAACGAATTGGCTAATATTTTTCCTCCTTCCTAGTGACCTAAAAAAATAGGCTGTTTTGTAAGTTTATATGGTTAAGTGGGTTTAAAAATGGAGAAGTTTACCGATAACTTCATTCTTTGTAGTAAAAATTTTATATGAAGTTATTTTAACTTACTAAATACTATAGAATATGAAACAAAAGGGCATCTTTGAAAGCAAGATTCTTTTCAAGTTTATGAGTTTTCTTAGTTTAAGTATAAAGATACTAAAGAATCTGTCGTGCCAAATCATTTTACGTTGTCCAGAATGAGGTTTCCTTTTAGGATACCCCTGAAAACGACGACTGAAAATGGCCTACCGTTGTAATTTACTATGAAAATTGGGAATTTCATATGAGTGTCGATCACTCAAATTTCATAGTAAAAAATTTATTCACCTGATCTGCGTGACATCTTGATCGACTGATACGTACTCATTGATCGTAATTGGTTAATTATAAATAAGTGTTGATAGATCATCTTCTCACTAAATTAAGGTGAATGATGGCATGCCGCATACAACATTTATGCGGCACATGGCATTTATGCATTATGCAGCACTCCTACATACTTGTACATACGGCAAACGGTATCGTCGTAATATTTTTGCCGGGTAACTACCCTCAAAATTTTAAATGCCTGCACCTCTAGTGACAAAACCAAAAAATTCAAAATGATAGAGATATAGCGTAATCGTCCAACGCATTTTTGCCTTTGTTAAATTCATAACGAGCGAAACAATGCCCATCAAATGTTATCGTTATAACAAGCCAAGAATGAGGTGGTTTCGTCATCTTATGAAATAACTGAAATAATGTTATGTTCTCTTTTCTGTTGAACGTATGATGCGGATGTTTTTTTATGAAAATGTAATTTTAAATTCGGAACGTGTAAATTAAGATTGGAAAAAAAAAGAAAAAAAAAGAAACCTTTGATTACGAGATCCACAGATCGTAAAGTTTTTATTCTTGTGGCTTGTTTCAAGCTTACATCGGGTGTTTGATCAACTAAATTGTTACAAAATCGATATAGTCCCTAATTAGAACAGTTTTTTTAATATGATTATACTGGAAAGTGATAAATCTTTAAAATCTATCTCCTCTCACAGTATTAATTAATCGAAATTAAAAATAATATAGAATAGCTTTTTAATTTGTCTTTCGGATCTTTTTTTCTTGTATTTAAAATTTTAAACTTTTTTATAAATATTTATATAATATAGACTAATTTATGAATAGCTCGTGTAATATCTTAAATATTAAAAATTTGCATTTAAAGTGCTAATGATATTGCATTGGTTAATGTATTTATCTATTCAAAATTCACCGAGGAGATACAATTCTAAGAAAAACAAAATTTCGAATATGTCGAGTGCCGCGCACTAATTGGTGCAGCCACAACCCATTAAAATAGTAGAATGTGGCACAGATTAATGGGAATGGGACTAGGTTACTCATACAAATTAGCCAATTATATTACTTAAAAACTTTATTATATTATTGTTGTTTTCGAAATGGTTGAAAAAAAAAATATTTTTTTTTGGAATGCTCAATTAGTTTAGAACATTGATCACTATTATGTAGATTGGAAATCGATCATCAAACAAAAAAATTTTTTGTAAATATTTTCAACCATTTCGAAAAATAGCGATAATTTGATAAGGGACTACAATAGTTTTGATTTAATAGTTGACCAAACATCTCAGCGTTAGCATCAATGTTAAATGACACATAATATCGATATGGATCCCTTAAAGTTTCGGTCCCTAATTAGTAGTTGTAACACTGAAACAAACAAATTGGACAATTTTGTCTTAAAATGCACATGCATCAATTAAAATAAATTTATATATGAACACATAATCAATGAAAGTAGTACATAAGAATTACGTACGACATACGTATGATTTTCTTTATTAAACTGAACATTGCAACAATCCGATAGAAATAGCTCTTAAACTCGGTTGAATGATAATAAAACTTCAATATTATAAAAAAAAATAATAAATAAAAATAAAATAAAGAAAGATAAAAATATAATAAAAAAAGATGTCAGCTCTTATAAGTACCAAAAAGACTTATAGGCATTTCTTTCTGTTATTATCCGGTTTCGTTACAAAAAATTCATCAGCAGAAAAATCAGCAGAAAAAAATTCAACAGAAAAATCAGCAGAAAAAAAATCAGCAAAAAAATCGACAAAAAAATCAACAAAAAAATCAGCAGAAAAGCATTCAAAAAAGAAACACAAAAAAATATGTGGGCCTGTTAATGAACCATGTAAAAGAGTAAATGAGCTATCGGCTCCATGTAATCAAACCTTGCCTTCTCCTACAGGCAATTTTTCTGTATACGAAGTAACATGTAAGTGGTTCTTGTAAAATCTTACTCACTATTCATTGTTTTCACATTGCTATCACTGATATATATATATTATATTTTTTCTTCCTGGTAGCATACGGAAATGGAGCTTTATGTAATTGCAATAAACTTTACTATGATACTTTAGAGACATGTACTTACTGTTTGAGTAATTCATCTAGAAAAGTAACTATTCAACGATTAAGTGATTGGAGAGCATCCTGTATGAAGTTTGGAACCCAATTTACTGAGTTTCCGTAAGCCTTAAATTTCCTTGCACTTATTAATAAGATGCTATTAAATTTATTGAATTATTATAACTTCATTTTTAAAACAGACCATCACAAGTAATGCCATATTCTGAATTAGATAGTGGGAATTCTACAAATTCTACTAAAATTGTGCCACTTACTGACCCTAATAATATCACTATTGACATATTAATTGCGATCTGTGTGATTGAAACAGTATTGATCATAGCTGGGATCGGGTTTTATATATTTTACCGAAAGTATTATAGAAAGAACCTCTTTGAATCAAAAGAATTAAATGAATCAAAAACAGACCTACAAAACGATATTGCAAATATACCAAATATAGATAATCAACTAGAGCAACATGAATTATTTCAACAATTTTTACAATATTTACAATCACAAAATCAAACTGGTTCGCAAAGATTATTACATGATGAAACAATTCCAATTTGACTCTACATATTTTGCATATTATTGACCTGTCTTTATTATTACAATAAAAATTCAATCCAGTTATTTTGGCATTAGTGGACTGGACCGAAAATGTGGGTTTATTGAACTTGATTTATTAAATATTGGTGCATTACTCTCTTGCTAAATTTATTAGATTTTAAATTAACAAATAGTTTCCATTTTTTTAATTAATTTTACAATGTAAAATTTATTGTAGTGATGGACAATATCCGCGTGTGATGCGTGGGATAGAACATCTTACTCAAATTCCCTTGTATAATACGTAGGATGTAAAACAAACTTTGTAAAATAGTTCAAATTTACATTATAATCAAAAACGCAACCATTGCACGCATTAAAAAAGAAGCCAAGTTATAAATTGTATTTATATGGGATGCCGTCAATAGAAATAAGGCAAATTGCCTTTTTTTTAAAAAAAAAAAAATTTAATATCTTACATTTCATAATCCATATTTTGAAGCTGTCTTTATAATTTATAGTCAAAGGAAAGCTTAAGACCTAAGCTTTCTTTTGACTATTAAATCATCAAGATAATTCCAAAATTTTTCATCAAGATATGAGTTATGAAATGTAAGGTATTGGTTTTTTAAAACGTCAATCTGCCAATTTCTGACAGTACATATTGACATATCAGCATCAAATGTTCTCTAACATGCTCCGAACAGTTATCAAAACTATATTTTTATTTATTTATTTTTAGTACTTTTATTAAAGATGCGACATGACCTTTTGTTCCATATAATTAATGAAATATTAGGTTTGTCACCTAAATTGGATTAAGGTTTTGCCGAAATTTGTTTGATTGTTACTATGTTTGAATTAGGTGTAACAAACCCAGGATAATATTTATATCAATCTAGTACTTCAAGTTACATCTACTACATTACGGCGTTCGTAAGATACCCCAAATTTTAATATTTTGACCTCCGATCGTGATTCATTTAATTGACTTCACATATATGTAATGTTACTATCCTTTGTAGACGATTTTGATATCCATAAAATACTGTCAATGTTACTGACGCCATTGAAGTTGTATGTTTGTACATATATAACTTATAACGATAAATTTAAGATGGGTTATTTGAATTGTACAAAAATTTAAAATGGGCTACGGTATTGGAAAATAAGTTAGACGTATTGTTTATTATAGATCGGAGAGTCAAGAATTTTTTTCTAGGGTTTAATCATAGAAAGTCAATAATAAATTTGGACCTTAAAACTTAATTTGGGAATCAAATAGACAAACGCGCCGTAATGAATCCAATGGTAATATATATTAAGAATACGTACCGGTATTTGTCCGATTTATTATGATAATAACATGTCAAGTTTATAAGCATTTCAATCATCTTTTTTAACCATTTCTAGCATTTAGAGTTTAAATATCTGATATGGCTAATATAATTAATAATAGCAATAAATAATAAAATATTCGCTTTCAAATGAAGTTTTTGGAGTTGTGGGTATTTCGCGCAATGTGTATAGATGCTCCTTTGAGTAATTTTTTAATTAGCTAAATGTTCTCAGAGTACTATATGGCAAAAAAATGATATTTCCATAATTGAAAAGAGAATATTAAATTCGGATTTATATTTTAGCCATTATAGATCTGAAGTGTTATGCTCGGAATTTCTTTTCTTCTTTATTCAGTTATTCTATTATTTTTATCAGTATGTATTATTTTATTATTTACTTATTTGGGTATAGTCTGGGAATGATTGTGACTCCCAGAGGGATTTATAAGCTCCCGGAAGGAGTTAAAAGCTCCCGAGGGAGTTATAAGTTCCCAGAGGAGTTAAAAGATCCTATTTTCTTTTTTAGAATTCCGAATCAGAAGATAGAATAGTGGTGGCAAAAAAAGTCGCGACCATGTGATCGCCGATATTTCTGAACAAAATTTATGCAAATCTTGCATGATCACATGGTCGCGACTTTTTTTTGCCACCAGATAAAATTATAAACATTCAGCGATTATGTAAATAAGTACGTACTTTTAAGGAGTAATACGAATAGTACGGTAAGACCTCGTTCAAGCTCTGGCCCAATAATATACATGCCCCCTATAAATGCACTTTCTCTTATGGATATCTAAGTGCACATTGATAAAGCTTGGTCCCAAGTGCGTGCACTTATAGAGGTTTTACTGTAGTAGAGTATAGTTTAGTAGAGTAGTAGAGTATAATACGTTAAATTAGCAAATACGTGTGTATGGTTGGTGAGGTCACAACTGAGTATAAAGTAATATATTGTGTATAGTATGCAAATGTATATAAAATTTATGCAAACGTGACGTTAAAGAAAACTTGACTTCGGGCTTCTAAAATTGCAATATCGGGCCTAATTTTGACGAATTTTAATAAATCGAGTCTAAAATATTAATTTGATCATTTAAAATCCAGAAGTTTGATATGGTCGTTAAGTAGCAAAAAGCAGTGATCGTTACGATGATTTTTTTTCTCTTTTTTTAAAAAAATGAAATCTTTTTTTTTTTAAAAAAAATAAAATCGTTATTTTATTTTAAAAAAAATAAATCGTTATTTTGTTTTAAAAAAAATAAAATCGTTATTTCGTTTTAAAAAAAATAAAATCGTTATTTCATTTTAAAAAAAATAAAATCGTTATTTCGTTTTAAAAAAATAAAATCGTTATTTCATTTTAAAAAAAATAAAATCATTATTTCATTTTAAAAAAAATAAAATTGTTATTTCATTTTGAAAAAAATGTCTATCAAAATACCTTCGAATGATATTAGTTCTGACAAAGAATCTATTTTATCGATCAGTTCTTCTGAGGATGAAAATTTTTTTGAAGAAAATAATTCTTTTAATGAAACTGATAAAACTTTTCTTGAAACAAATAGTTCTTTTAATGAAAACTTTGGAAATTTTGACATTGATGATACGTTTGAAGAGAATAGATTTTTCATAAATTCTTTTTCTCAAGAAACTTCTAGATCTTTATCCGAAATAGAAGGCTCTAAAATATTTCTGACCAAAAATTTGACTGCCAAAGAAATAATTCATTCATTAATTCCAATTATTTATCATATAGATGAATGGGAAAGTATAGATTCAGCATTTACTAATATAAATATTTATTATTATTGTAACTATAATATTAAGTATGCAGTTAACGTATTTAGCATATTACTTTTTAGGTTCAATATTCTATGGGAAAACCATCTAGTCAAAATCAAGCTACTTGTTATCTTGGTGATATTGCAGTAATGAAAAAGAAAAGAACATGCCAAGGAGTTAAATTATGTGAATTTGTAAGTTCAGAACTTCAAGAAATACAGTATGAATTAGTGGATTCTAATTCTGATTTACAGCTAAAGATAAATAATAAATTATTATCTGATAACATAAAAAATAATACTTTGTGTAAGTATATTTTAATAGCAAATTGAATACACAGAAAATTATATAAGCTAATAATTTTTGTCTATTAGTGTATATTTAGCTAGAACCCCAAAGATCTCTGATACAACTTAGATCTAAGTTTGTATAAAGTTTGTATAAATTTGGCCAAATAGATGTATAAAACTAGTTTATAAGACCCGGTCGGTAACCGGGTTCAAGTTCCTAATTTTTTGCTAATTCTTAAGCCTA